ATAGGGCCCTTATAAGGGCACCTTCCTCGGGGAAACCGCTATGCAGCGCCTGCCCAGGGTCGCGGAATTCTATCCTGCCAGGAGTATTGATCCTAGTCGCCTTGGGGGATTTATCGTGCCAACTGCCTTTAAATTGATCGTCAGCTGCACCAATGATTCCCTAGAGTGAGGTTTTCGAAACGGAATGTGGAAGAATGAATACGAAGGGCCAAAGTAGGAGAGAAGGATTAAAAGGTCGAGTAGGGCCTCATATTATTAACTTTGCAAACGAAAGGCTATTAACTCTACACACGGAAAGTGATTGGATGAAATGAAGCGGCAGAACGCGGAAACAAGTGAGCTTCGCCCACCCAGCATGCTTTACATTCAGTTTCTAGTGGATCCGCGAAAACTCCTCCTTAGATTCTTATAACTAATCTTATCCCGTGCCTGTTATGCAAATCATTATCTGTTTAGGTCGTACATCCATCTGACAGTATGAGCACGAGAGCCGGACCATCTTGTCCGATCCCCTCTTCAAACTCATTGTCACAAGTTTACCCGGAACCTATCATGGAAGGCGACCCATTAACAATTTCCCTCTCTGTAAGTTTTGATTTTCATTCATGATCTATCACTCTTGAATTCAGATTTGCACGAACATACAAGATAAGTTGTACTTTTGCCTCCTTGGATCTTGACCCTCGCCACATGCGATGTGTGGGTCCACAGCTACAGTTACTTGCCACTTTTTCCGCTCAAAACTGCACGGAGCGGGCCTGGAGGTAGTGATACCCAGGTCGTCTTCCAACTCCGCCCAATGCAGCATATGCTTCGATATCAGAATTTCGCAGCGAACACTCAATTAGCTTTAAAGAACAATCAGAAGTGACAGTGTGCAGAAAAGCAGCACCTTTGGTTACGGTTAGGCGTATGGCTGGCAGCGATTCGGGTATGGAGTCGCCACCGTAATATCACTAACTCTTCAGTCTCGTTTCGTGCAGGGCTGAACGCAGAAAGTGGCACGCTATTGCAGCTGTGAACACCTTCTTGTCGCACATGGCAAGGGTCAGGATTCAGGGAGGTAGGTTTACAACTGGGTTCCGAGGAATGTAAAACTGCGCCATCCGCAATCTCCGACGGTGTTCAAAGAGTTCAGTTCTATTAAAATTATTGCAAAAAATTATCCTCCCCATTGATCGAGCGACTGAGAACGTGTGGTAGTCAGTGACTTTCTTCATCGCACGCGACACGCGGGAATCATAACTGCACCTTCCGAGTTATCAAAGCGGTCATTGTATAGAACAAACAGCCATTCAGATTCGGAATTGAAGTCATATGCATGGCACATTCCGAGAGGAATTGATCACCTCCGCTCCGAACGCTTTATCCTTTATATAGTTGGCTTTTGAAGTGACTGGAACCTGCAAATCATTGTATGGGCCACATCAGGTTACGCCATGGTTGAGGAGCTCTTTTGAAGACAACCCTGCGATTGTATATTGTGGATAGTGACGTTCACTCACAAACCTATAGTCACTAAAATGACTGTACGGGGAAAAAGCCAAGGAAATTATGCATAGGTAAGGACTCGGCAGCCACTCTGGACGAGTTCCCCCGGCCTGCCCGTTTTATGCCATCAACTCGATATCCTGCCGCCTCTGGCTTACTAATCATGTTTTGGCGTCATCCGACGCTAATACAATCGAACAGTGAAAAAAAATGGAAAACGCGGTGGAAAATCTGCTCGTGATAGAAAGTAGTGTTTGAGTTTCGGTGGGCGGAGCAACTAGGGAGGAGTCAGAACTGCCACTTAAGAGGGCCACAGTGCCTTCGTTACTCAATGAAGCCGCAAATGGAGTAATCATAGAGACCAAGGACCAGACTACCTGTGGAAGATCGGTCGATGCCAAGGTCTCTCATTATTATGGATAACGCTGCGAAGGGACAGAACTAAACCCGTGCCTCAAATCATGAATAATCTTACTTTCTGTCTTTACAGCATCCAGTCTCTGCTGCATCAATTCCATCTTCTTCATTAATATCCCCTACCGGGCCGCCTCCTAGTCATCCTCCTCCACCTCTGCCTTCGAGAGATCTATCACGGCAGGTTAGTGTCTTTCTTATATCCATCTTATGGAACTGCATTTACATATTTTTTCAGATGTCGAACGAGTTACGGTCTCCGCCACCGCTCCCTCCAAGGAATCCCTCAATACGGTTACCCGATCCTGTGTCAACTGAGCTTGTTGCTCGTTTGAATCTACCTGAAACGGAGAGGTATCGCGGAACCAGTATTCTTTTTCACCATATTTTACCAACTTAGAGTAGTGAGGTTTCAGAAATATTGTAATTTAGTACACCCAACCCTCAAAGTTCGTCTATTGAGACTGTTCAACAGCTTGCTAATCATGCTCAAAGGTACGGTTGCTCCACTCTGTTCCTTTTCTTCGATTATTCGATAAAATGGGAATTTGGGCGCAGGTGCGAGGGGTGGGGATTTTGGTATGGGCACGTCATAAGTGTTCGGGCAAAGCTTTTCGCTGAAGCCTAGGGTTTAAGAAGCTGTAAGGTGCGCGAAGTTCAGTGCCCTCGAAATTGCTTAAACTCTAGATCGCTGCGAATGAAGGGGCGTGTCAGGCAGTATGAGTGTGCCACGGCGCCAAACCCGTTCTCTGCCAGTTGTTGAAGCGGTGTGCGCAACAACTGGCTAGAAAACGAGTGATACGAACGATATGGTACAGTCTTGTCATCGCTTGCTTCAAAAGCTGGTGGAAAACGGGTTTGGCATCACGCGAAACTCACCGCCTGACCGCCTCTTCGTCTACAGCGAACTAGGCTATACTTGTGACCCTAGCAACATTCCTCATTCCGCTGACTCAGACATTTGTTCGTACGTTCCAGCATCCCCGCATAGAAAAAATTGAATTGGCCTGGACACAAAGTAGAAATCTTAAAAAATCTTTGCTCAAAATCGCGACTGACGTCATCTCCGGCGGACTATCACAAAAAATGCCTCAGTATATGTCACCATGCTCAAAAATATTTTTGTGATTGTTTCTAAAAATGAGAATCGTTTGGAAATGAGTCATTGAAGAGGGTCATCCACTTCAAATGATTCGTTACTGCCAAGTGGAGAAGCAGTTAATGGAAGTGGAAGACGGAGAGGTCATACGAAAACAAACTCACTAGACAGAGGCCTCACCTTGGCAAAGTCTCTTAAGGTTTGTTCCCCGTTGTCTTATTTGCATATTTCCTTCAAATAAATCTTCCTGCAGGCTGGTCCATTTCCGCCTCCGTCAAATACAAATCGAATTCTTTAACACGGCAAGAAATAGACGATGATGGAGAAGAATGTGCACGTAACACAGCAGCTGAAGGCGTAATTTTACAGATTACTACGAAGATTATTGGCGACCAGTCTGTTCGGGTAAGTGCCATCGAGTTCTAATTTTTTAACTCTTGTATTTTGAGAGGTAACAGGTTTTTGAGGCCTTGTGGTGAAGTGATGAAATCCTCACGTTTTGGAATATTGATACCAAAAAGCGGCCTGGAATGACTATCGGAATAGTTTTTTTTGACGTTTTTTCGGGTCGCCCACAATCGATCGTCGACGTCCTGAGGGTGCCAGTTCTTAATCTGTGCCGGATGAAGGGCGTGTCAGGCGGCTGGGTTATGACGAGGCCCTATTCCCGTTCTCCAACAGTCCTTGGAGCGGGATAAATCGCGACAGCACTGGGGGGGGAACGCACTGATACGATAGTCGATCCTTCCTCCAGTGTTGTTGCTTGCGCGCTTCAACGACTGAAGGAAATAGGGTTGGCGCTGCGCCAAATCCATCCCGCCTGACTTGCCCTTCATCCGCAGTCAAGAAGATTGTAGCCGCCTCGGAGGATAATCATTAGATCTTCTAACCGATCTTGAGTTTGCTCTTTATAGAATCTTGACTAGCAAAGGCAAACTCGTCTCCTTACATGAAATCTCACCGAGATTTATTATTACTACAACTAGTACTATACTGTATGCTACACTGTTTGATTATTCTCTTCTCTTTGTTGATCGGAAAGGTTCCCAGTAGTGTGGCGGATTAAGCTGTTGTGGTACTGAAAAAAACGGAATATTCAGCAAAACACAGTAATTCTAGTTTTGTATAGAATTATCCCGCATTTGCTCGATATAGCTGAAAAGCTGAGAAGAATTGTACAAACTTTTTGTCGATGGCGTATTTTCAGGTATTTTTTGTGGAAACGTGGAAGGAGTGTTACTTTCATAGTTTTAATCCTGTTATCTAGTTGCATAGTTGTGGAAGGGGAGCATAACCAGTTTTCGGCGCGTGCATGCGAAAGAATAGCCTCTAAGCCGGCTAAACACGATCACACGATGATCGAGGTGATCCTGTGTGCTGCTTTATATTGTTGGAATTTTTATTAATTTTCTTGGGCGTAACAATTGGAACCATTGAGTTCTAGTTTTGCGGGTCTATTCCTTACGATGGGCTGTTACTGCATATCTTTAAATGAGCGAGTGAATCACTGACTACTGCTTACTGGATGGACTATGAAATAATAATACCTTTATGAGTAGGAATGCTCTTGGAAGTGTGCCCATCCCCGGGAGAGCCCGAGGTTCAGTGGTTATCCAGGCTTTAGGCTGATTATTTACCATATTGTACATTTGGTATTTATTTATTTACTCACACTTTACTAGCAGTGGTGCAGCTCAGGGTAACCCTTCGTCGTGCGCTCGTTTCGATATTTGGCAGTGATCCGGTTATCAGTCATCAGCTTTCGTCTTTTTTTTCCTCGCTTAGTTCATTATTACCGATGCGTACTTCTCCCTAGAGCTGTCTTTTGCGTTTCTCTGCTAATGTTTTTTTGACTCTGATTTAAGCGCACTGACTTCCCTCCTAGCAGCCGTGGACCTGGTGTAATGAGTTGCTACGAGGCAGGGTGACTTTATGCAAATGAATCGAGAATACACTTAGTTTCGGCAGAGTCCCAAGGGCTTTCATGCGTCCTACCGGTAGGAGCTGCTCGTTCAAAAATTCTGACTAGTGCACTTCCCTAAGATGCCGTGAGGAAATGGCTTGGTTCAAAATCATGAGCACCTATGCCAGCACTCACGAGTTTACATATCAAGAAAGAAATACATTCAAAGAAAAGGTCCGAAAAGTTGATCCGGGCGAGTTATCCGACTTGGTGAGCACGTAGACCTCATCTGTCCTAGCACGAAAACGGCAACGTAGTCGTACCAAACGACTGCCTCCCTCATAGCTGGTAAGCTCTCGCCCAGGTAAGAAAACTCGTCTAAGGGTTAGACCCACAAGATTTCCCCCCGCCGAATAGTTGGAAACGCCCTGGTTGGGGAGAACGGTGCAAAGAGGATCGTAATTCGCCGCACCGCCACGCGCGGCGATGGGCGCGGCGTTTTCATAACTCGTTTTAACCTGTCGAATGAAGCACCGGACTTCATGTAGACCCCGTCATCGTAGACACTCATTACTGTTTTCGGTCCTTAATTGCATGTTGTCGCCATCTACTGCCTGAAACCATCGTCCTTTGCGGGCGACGTCGCACGCGACGCCCAGCAGCGCGGCAAATTACGATCCTCTGGTCACATACCCCTGGTTGGGAGGCACCGAAGTCAGCAGTCACTGCTTCATATAGTTTCATGTTACTGAAATCTGATGGTTTAGTAATTTGGACGACTCAACCAACTCGTTAGAAGCGTGCTATTTCCTGGCATGACACACTAGTGGCGATATAACCGCGAAAACGGCCAACCCCATCCTCGCCCTTGAACCGCTTCTGGTAATTCGCGGTTCCCTCGAGTGGTTGTAGAAGCAGCCTGTAATTGTCAAGGCATGAAGTGGAACTGGGTTGTGGCTTTTTTACATATTTTTGGAAAATTGGAGTGTACCCGAGAGCGAAACCGTACGAACAGCACTGAGTCATTGTGGTTTGAATGGAATGCTTCTTTCCGACTTGCACCACAAGGAGATCCCGGGAGGCATGTGACAAAAGGAATGAATTAAATGCCAACTGAACACGAATCGATTGTGATTTTCTCCCCGGCATACGATTCATTCATTCACTGTTCCACTGTTCATGACATCATCACTACGAATCGCTACCATGTTGCTTATCCTAGACTCCTGGACTTCTACCTATTCGGTTCTTTTTCGAAATGTTAAAAATTGTATTAAAGACAGCTACCGCGGTCAAGCAATTCATAATCGTCCTTCCTTTGTCAAGTAGCCTGGCCTCATTCTCTAAGATTATCCCATTTTCGCGGCATCACAGTAAGTAGGTAGCTTTGGCGGGATGTGTAGCAACAGAATCGTCCGGTGCAGCTGGTGGGCGTGGCCTGCGACATACTTGCGGCGAGAAGACGAAGCGTGCTTCTGGCGGTTTGAATAGGGTTATTGAAGGGAAGGTAAATATTGATATCACCCAGGATCGAGTCTTGTGTTCAGTTACGGTTAAGTTTTCAGTTAGAGTATGAAAAAGTTCAATAGAGCACGAAATTCATTGGGGTCTTTAACATTTGCTCTGGTTTGTCATCTTTTACAGCAGCTCACAGAAAAACTTGGCCATCCGTCTATTATATTGACGCTGGCGACTGCGCAAATCATGTGAACCACATAAACATAGGGAGAATCACATCTGATTTCTTTTGTATCTGTTTATTTCCTGAAGTTGCGTTTATGGAACCGCCAAACAATTGTGTGTTACTATCAAGAAAAACATCATTAGATTTTCAATCATTGATGAAACCTGCTATGTTGCGGATGTACGCTGTAGTAAATCATTTGCTCCAGTCGCAAAGCTATCGGCTAGCAAATGCACGTAAGTGAGCTGCTGAGTCATTCGCCGCGCGACGCGCCGCGTGCCGCGGGCGCTGCCCCGGACGATTCTGTTGCACGTCTCCCGCGCTGGCGCTGCGCCCCTCATAAGTGGCAGTTCTGACACCTTTGTAGTTACTCTTGCCCACCAGAACTCACAGGCTATTTTCTGTGGCAGTTTCAGTTTCACACCAGGTTTTTCATTCTTTTTTCATTGCCAGATGATTATGGCGTTGAATGACGCAAGAAGCGATTCTGATCCGGAGACGGCAGGATATCTTTCTACCTGCAGAAAACGAGGAGGTCCGAATAACTGGTCTAGAGGGGCTGCCAGGTCCTCAGTCAGGGTGTCCATGATTTTTTTGTTTTCTTTTTTATGGAGACTCACCTAGCGACTATAGGCATAATTGAACGCCTATCCACACTGCGTGATCGCGGGGTTTGATTTTACGTGACCTCTTTGATTACCTTTTCCCTCTCTT